TATGTGTGATGTATATGTGTGCATGATGTAGAGATATGCATGTGTACTATCATATATGTATAGCGAGCGCTACATGTGTGAACACATATACATGTATGTGTGTGGTGTGCATGTATGTATACATATCTATAAATGTAATGATATCTATCTGGCACATAGTATAAGCCTGATAAATATTATTTAATTTTGTGTTGAACCTAAAGGAGAGACCTCTGATGGTAGCCACAGGGCAACTATGGAGGCTGGAAGCAAAGAAACAATAGAGATAAGTGAAAAAACAGTTCTTGAAATACAAACTTCTGGCAAACTGATAAAGAAAATAAAAGGAGCAAAGGCACAAATAAAAAATAGCAGAGAGAATTAAATTTTTAAAAATTATAAAAATACTGTGTAAAGTATTATACCAATAAACATGAAACCAGAAAGCATGAACAATTTTCTAGAAAAATAATACTACCTACTCTAACTGATGAAGAGATTAAAAATCTGAATAGACTGAAAACATTAAATAAATTGGAGTTGTAAGATTTTTTTTCAAAGCCATGTATATCCACTAACACAAAGAAATTACCAGACCAGATGGTTTCACCTTCTGCCAAACCTTCAAAGAAAGATAATCCTTTCATGATACAAATTGTTCTTGAGGGTGGAGAAAAAGAGCACTCTCTCCAAGTCATTTTCTAAAGCCAGGATAACCTTAAAGCTTTGGAATTAAAAAAACAGACAGAGATAACAACAGAAGACAAAATTATGGTCACATAATTATTTCACTTATGAACATGGATGAAAATTTTCTAAATAAAATCATAGCACCCTGGACAGGGGAAAACCAAGCAAACTAAAATATGATTTATCCTAGAACTATAAGAGGGAACAAACACCAGAAAACCTATAACTATATATTCTCCACAAACATAGACTAAGGGAGAAAAAAATAAAATGAGTAAGCAGATGCAGAAAAATTACGATAAATTTTATTATTCATTTATGATTTAAAAAAAAACAATGGTCAGAAAACCAGGAAGGGAATTTTCTCACCTCTATAAAAAATAATACCACAAACCTAGAGTAAACATCATATCTAATGGAGAAACTGCAGACACATTCTCTTTAAAATTAGGTAGATTCTAGTCATTGTTCAGCAGAGCACAGATGTTCTGGGCTGTGCTATAAGACATGAAAAAAATAAATTGGAAGGCGCCGGCCGAGTGGCTCAGTTGGTTAAGAGCTCGCTCAAGAGTTTGAGCTCTGAGCAACAGCGGTTCGAGTCCCGGCCCGAGCTGAGCAGCCGCTGAGCTGCCAACAGGTAGCAGGATGGCTCAGCTTAAAAAATAAAATTAAATAAATACATAAATTGGAGGTGTGAAGATAGTTGCATAGAAAATCAGAACATTTCATAAACTGATAGATATGATCAAATAAATCAGGATGTTTGCCTGCTTAATAAAAACCACACAAGTTCACAGAGCTCTTCTACACCAGCGAGAATCTACAGGAAGGTCTAATAGAGGCACTTCTGTCTGTGCCATGATGGAGGGAGTGGTACTGGGCCGGCCCTCTCACTGTAAACAACTAGAAAACTGGAGAAAACATAAGGCGCAACCGTTTTCAGACATTGGACAAGCGACATCCCAGGACTGTGGACGCTGAGAAAAGAGAAATAGAAGAGATGGGTCCTGTGATCACCCCAACTTTTGGTCTGGGGGTACCCTCGGGACCCTCAGGCGTGGGAAAGCCTGAAAGAGCATGGTGGCCTCCCTGAGCTGAAGATACTGAAGTCAGACTTCAGGAAGATTGAAGTGGTTGGAATTTGAAAGCTGGGTAATCAGTCAGAAGGGAGCAAGCTACTCAGAGAAAGGACTCTAAAATCCTGCATGGGGTCCCCTTGGGTCTTCGGCTGAAAGCTAAGCTGTGCATAGGATAAAGCTCTGTGAACTAGGTGAAGAACAACTACCAAGTAGCCGTCAGCTGAACAACTACCAGAGCTCACACAAAGCCATATATATTTAAAACACAACAGTGTAGGAACAGACAAACTAATGGGGCAGGATGGAGCGTTCAAAAGCAGTCCCATGTGTAAATGGGAACTTGCTAAGTCAACAGGGAAAGGAGCGGCCATTTAGGAGATGGTGCTGAGCAAAGTGGCTCATGATACAGAGGAAAAATCACTGTATCCTTTCTTTATCCCACAGAAAAGTAGATTCTGATTGGATTCAAGACCAAACTCTAGAGGAGAAAAAGTATAAAAGTAAGAGAAGAAATTATAAGGGAATATTTTTTTTCACCTAAGGATACGGAATGACTTAAGATCCAAAAGGCACAACATTGTTGGGTAAAAAAATGTGTGGAAGTTGGTTATACCAAAATTGAGCGTATCTGTCCACCGAAGTTCACAACAAAGTTATCACAGTGAAGAGCATTCTCATAAAATCTCATACCTGCAGTGTCTAAACACAAGGAGTCAAACAACCCCTGCAAATCAAGAAGGCAAAGAAAAAAAAACACACCTGAGAAGTAGTCAATGGACACGAGCAGCCAATTCAATGAAGAGAAACCCCAAGTGTCTGGCAGATATGAACTGATGCTCGCACTCACTGGAATCCCAAAAAGGCAAGTTCAAACATCAACAAAAGTTCACGCTACAACCATCAGACTGGCAGAAATTAGAAAAGCGGATAATACCAAGTGCTGGTGAGGGGATAAGGCAACGGGCGCCCTGCTGCCTGCTGGTGGGAGTGACGCCTGGAGCAGCACTTTAGGGAAGAAACCAAACAATACTCAGTGAAGCTAAGCAGGCACATGTCGTAAGACCCAGCAATCCCACTTCCAGAATGGATCCCAGAAAAATCCTGAGCCACGTCCAAGGGGACCAGCGTGAGGATGTCGAACACAATGTTTTATGGTCAAGGGAACGAAGGAATGGATAAATACAATGGGGCCAGCACACAGCATAAAACTTTATTACTTTTATTTATTTTTTTTTAAGATTTTTATTGGGGAATTGGAGGATGGGAACAGCGCTGGGGAGTTGTGGGAAGGGGAACAGACAAGTTGCTGTCCTTTTTGTTCTTCAGTCTAGTTGTGGAGGACGTTGCTTCACTGGCCCATGTTGGCACCATCATTGTACTCTTCCTGAGTGAGGCAGTCACTCGATGGCCATTGGATGGCAGCTCACGCCGGCTGCCTGCCAGCCCCACTGCAGCCTACGCCGACGCCGGCAACTCACGGCAGCCCAGCTCCAGGTCGAGCTGTTGTTCACCATCTTAGCTGTAGAGGGCGCAGCGTCACTGGCCCTCATGTGGGATCCGTACCGGGGTCCTGCTGCTCAGAGCTGGTGTCCCAAGCCAACTCTTAACCAACGCACCACTTGGCAGGCCCACACAGTATAAAACTTTAAACCACAACAAACTATTAATACTTTTCTACAGTCACCTGTAAACATCCTAAAGGCATATTGTTGAGTTAAAAAAGAAACCAGCAAGAATTCTAAATCACAGTGACGCTGATGGAAGTTAAAAACATTTCCAGGGAACCTCTCCATTTTGACAGATGTTCAAGGATGTATGCCGAACAGGTTAGACCAGATGCAAGGAAGGGCGAGGAGCTGGGATGGAGGTGAAGAAGGAAACTTAAATGATTGGGTTTTTTTAAGATTTTATTGGGGGATTGGGGAAGGGGAACAGCCAAGTTGTTGTTCTTCAGTCCTAGTTGTGGAGGGCGCAGCTAGCTCAGTTCCAAAGTCTAGTTGCCATCCAGCTGCCCGTCAGTAGCTCGCGCTGCTCAGCTCAAGGTGCCGTGTTCAATCTTAGTTGTGTATGGGGGGTGGGGAGGTGGGCACAGCCCACCAGATGTGGGAGTACTATCAGCAACCTTGTTGTTAGGAGCACGTACTCTCACCAGCTGAGCCATCCTGCCACCTGTTGGCAGCTCAGTGGCAGCTCAGCTCAGGCGCAGCTCACTGGCCCATGTGGGAATCGAACCGACAACCCTGTTGCTCAGAGCTCGAGCTCTTAACCAACTGAGCCACTCGGCCAGCCCTGAAATAATTTTATTTGACTTTAAATGGCCTGGTGATCATGGTGTACCATAAAGTGGGGGTGTAATTAAATCTATTCTTTTGCACCCAAGGTGCAGTTTTTTAAAAAATTAATTCACAGGGCCGGCTGAGTGGCTCAGTTGGTTAAGAGTTGGCTGAAGAGTGTGAGCTCTGAGCAACAGGGCCGCTGGTTCGATTCCCACATGGGCCAGTGACACTGTGCCCGAGCTGAGCTGCCAACAGGTGGCAGGATGGCTTAGCTGGTGTCACAAGATTGCCTGTTTGATGGTGAGCTATGTCCATTCGCAACTAAGACTGAACTTGGCACCTTGAGCTGAGCTGCTGCCTGGATGGCTCAGTGGAGAGAGCTTGTGCTCTTAACAGCAAGGCTGCCAGGTTTGACTCCTGCATGGGATGGTGGCTCCGCCCACCTGCAACTAAGACTGAACTTGGCACCTTGAGCTTAGAGGCCACGAGCTGCCAACAGGAGGCCAGATGGCGACTGGTGCCCTCCACAACAAAGACTGAAGAGCAACAACTTGGCTGGTCCCCTTCCCCAATTCCCCAATAAAATCTTTTTTAAAAAATTAATTCACAGAATTTGAAGAGTACAGGAGAAAAGAAAATGATACTTACCAATAGATGTAGAAAAAGCCTTTGATAAAACTTAACAACTCTTCATGATTAAAAAAGTAACTAAACTCCAAAATAGAAGAGAGCCCCTTAACATGGCGAAGGGCCTTTGAACAACTCGGGGTCCGTCATGGTGACCCTGGTGTCAGATTCAGGAAGCGTGGGAGCCACAGGACGTGGGGGAAGGGTCAGGCCTCCTGAGCATGGCCTCCTGCCGAAAGAACCCTAGTGAGGGCCCCAGAGCATGAAGCTTGAGGGTGGGGAGAACCCTGGAAGTCCCCCGGGTCCATGCAGCACAGAATCTCACGTTGGTCCATCTTCCTTCCACAGGATGAACCAGAGTCTGAACGGCAGCCAGGCCCCGGCGATGGCCCCAGGCAGCCCCGGGGTGGACGCGGTGGACGTGGCCTCCTGGGTGCTGAGCGCCCTGATCATGTTCACCTGCGTGTGTGGCATAGCGGGCAACGGCCTGGTGGTGTGGCTGCTGAGCTTCCGCGTGGAGAGGACGCCCTACAGCGTGTACGTCCTCCACCTGGCCGTGGCCGACCTCCTCTTCCTGCTCTGCATGGCGTCCCTGGTCAGTCTCAAGAGCAGCCTGCTGGCCAACACACGGTCCCTGGCCCAGGAGCTGCTGCAGAGAGTGAAGTACTTCGCCTACACCGCCGGCCTGAGCCTGCTGACGGCCATCAGCGTGCATCGCTGCGTGTCTGTCCTCTTCCCCATCTGGTACAAGTGCCACCGGCCCCGGCAGCTGTCGGCCAGGGCGTGTGCGGGGATCTGGGCGCTGTCCCTCGTCATGAACACACTGGCCTCGGTCTTCTGCAGCTGGTCCTGGCGCTCGGACGAGAGGCGGTGCTTCGCGGTGGACTTGGCACTCATTTCCCTCATCTTAGGCCTCTTCACCCCCATGATGGCCGTGTCCAGCCTGATCCTGTTCGTGAGGGTGAGGCGGAGCTCCACGCGCGGGCGGCGGCGGCCCACGCGGCTCTACATGGCCATCCTGGCCTCGGTGCTGGTGTACTTCATCTGCGTGCTGCCCCTCGGCGTCTACTGGTTCCTCCTGTATTGGCTGCACCTGCAGTCCCAGGTGCAGCTCTTGTACGCCTGCCTGGCCCGCCTCTCGTCCTCCGTGGGCAGCAGCGCCAACCCCGTCATCTACTTCCTGGTGGGCACTCGGCAAGGCCACCGTCTGCGGGAGTCGCTGGGGGCCGTGCTCGGCCGGGTGCTGCGGGACACGCCTGAGCTGGAGGGAAGGGAGACACACTCCTCCTACACCAATGAGGTGGGGGACTGAAAGCGGCCGCCCTGGAGACCCGCAGGCCTGCCCCAGCCCAGCGCCTGGCTGGCCTGTGGTCAGAGCCCCACGGACTGTGCATCTCACCCTGCTGGGGTCCCTTTCCTACGAGCCAAAGCTCCCCCACAGCATGTCATGTCCCGATCTCACAATGCCACTCAGCTGGAAGATGAAATGTAGTTTTGTTTGTGGAGGACCCTCCGGTTAGAGGACAAAGGTCAGCTTTCAGCCCTGGCTTAGCACGTTCTCTCACCTAAGGTGGCATCTTTGTACAGGAGGTGGAATGTAGCTCCAGTGACTTTGTGGCCCCGTGCTGGTCCTTGGGCACGTGCTGGTGGCATCAGTTGGCCCCAGGGCGATGCCCCTGGTCCACCTTCGACTGGAGTCCTGCAGTCAGCCATCAGTCAGCTGTGTCGCCTATGCTAGCCCAGCTGTGACTCACCCCCCCTGCAATCCCTGCACTTGATCCCTGGCCTTTGCCTTCGGGTTGCTGTGCACCAACACCCATGCACCCATGGCAGGTCTGCTCGCTGTTCTCCACGGGGCTATACTGGAACCAGGAGAGCCTCTACCTGGCCTCCCTGGAGATGCACAGTTGACCTTGACGGGTCGGTGGCCAGATGGCGCAGGCAGCCTGGAGGCAGATTCCTCCCAGAGATCCACGAGGCGAGCAGAGCAGAGCTGTCCCCTGACTGACTGCCGCTCCCAGGGTCTCCCTCAGTTTCCCCAAACACTTCTCCTCTCTGGGCACAACGCCCAAAGGAAAAATTGGGGACACACACCTTGCTGTCCTCCCTCACTCTTTCCCTCCCCCAGTCTCCTGGGTCCAGAACGAGGAGTGGACGCTTTTTGTATTTTTCCTGCACCCAGCATCCAACCTCGTGCCTGGGGGCTTGGGTGGAAAGGGCACCTGACAGGAGGTCCCTGCAGAGCCGGCCTTGGATTTGGACAAAAAGAGGTGGGAGACGGAAAGACAGGAAGTGGGAAGACCTGCCCTCAGGACCACAGCCCAGCCCACTCGGCTGGCATCTTGCTGTGTCATCCTATTTGGTGTGTCCGAGCTGCCTGTTCCTTCTATGGGCACTTTCTGAAGCAATTCCCAGCCTTCTCCCAAAACATGGCGGCTTCAAGCCAGCTGGGCCAGAGGTCAGGTCTTCAGAAAGGAAGAGAGAAGCTCACTAATAATCTATAAAACGTTACCCCATGGCAGCAAACCTCCCAGTCTGTAGATATGAGCGGCCGAAGGCAGTAGGGGGTCTTGGGAACTAAGATACTTGTGTATCTGGTCCAGGGACCCACTGTCCTAGCTCTCCCTTTGACTGTTGCTGACCTGAGCAAGGGCTGTGCAGCCCCTGGAAGGAGACGGTACCCTCCCACCCCGAGGGCCCTCAGCTTCCCAGCCACCTGCCTTCCTATCTCGGCTCAGAACCCCCCCAGGTCTGTGAGTCTCAGGGAGGCATGTGGGGTCGGGGGCTCTTTGCCAGTCATCCCAGGCCCAGCCCTGTCTTGTATGCCGTAAGCATGTGGTAAGTGCTCGTCTGGCTACCGAGAACAACTGATAGCTGTCCAGTGCTTTGCAGCAGTGGGGCTCAGAGAGGCTAATGTTTTGCCCAGCATCACACAGCCAGTAGATAGAAGGGCTCTGATTCAACCCTTACTGTTTGACCACAAGCCCCATGTTCCATGACCCTTCTCTAACCTGGGCAGTGACAAAGTGGCCCATCTGAAGCAGACGGTTGAGAGGAGCCCTAGAAATTGTTCACACAGTTACTTACGATATAATGCGTCGGTTAAGATCACAGTCTCCATCTACTCCAACTCCATCACTCTCCACCTCAAGCAGGTGGAACAGGTGGGGCCACAGGTATTTGAGGATCTCTCTAAGAGAAAGTTGAGTTGGTGGTGCCCACAGTTTGGGCTCCATGGGGTTATAGTTATGTGTTTCACTGTCACTTCTGTGTATAGTTGGGTCATTGCTGATCCACCCCGGCTTAGGAATGACATCCCACTGCCCGCTGTGCCAACTGACCTGGCATCAGGGGAAAAAACGCAGGGCCAGAGGCTGTGTGCAGACAGGAACGCCACCGGCAATGTGTGGGTGGTGGAGGGTGGAGAAGGAATGACATTTGAAATGTACAGAACCAGAAGCCAGGCTCTGGGGAGTTCCTCCAATCATCAACCATGTAAAATTGTAAGCGGCAGGTTCAGTTCTCAGGGATGCCTGGTCGGAATGGCCCTCCTCCGTTACGCTCCATGTCACAGCATGTGTGATCATAGGACATGCCATACCTTCTTCTTTATTTTTATGGGGAACGTGCAAAATACAATTTATCAGATGTCCTGTCTCTGAAGGCATGATCCTAGAGCAGGAGGACAGCTGCGGAAATGCCTCTTCACATAAAGCTGCCTGTCTTCTGCATCCCAGCTACCAATATTTAAAAATAAAGCTGATCGGGCTGTCTGAGTGGCTCAGTTGGTTAAGAGCGCGAGCTCTGAGCAACAGGGTCACCGGTTCGATTCCCACATGGGCCAGTGAGCTGCGTCCGAACTGAGCTGCTGCTGAGCTGCCAATAGGTGGCAGGATGGCTCAGCTGGTGAGAGCACGTGCTCCTAACAACAAGGTTGCCGGTTCGACTCCTGCATGGGATAGAGGGCTGCGCCCCTCCGCAACTGAGATTGAAGGACAACAATTTGGCTGTTCCCCTTCCCCAATTCCCCAATAAAATCTTTTTTAAAATAATAAATAAATAAATAAAGCTGATCAATGAGGAAGACCAAGTTATCTGTCTTCTCCGTAGATGGTATTACATAATGTGCCAGGACAAGAACACTGGGGGTCACAGAGTCGGGGTGCAGGGAGGTGGAGCCTGCCTCCATCACACACCAGCTATGGTCTGGTCAAGTCGGGAAATTGCTCTGATTCTCCATGCTTGCATCTTTGAAGTGGGCACAAGCTTACTGCCTGGGTGACAGGTTTGCTGAGGGCTCCATGGGGCGGGCATGCCGTGTTTAGCTGTATCTGGCACACAGCAAGGACTCAGTCAATGGTGACCGTTTTTACGCACTGGATATTTCAGAGGGCTGGGGCTGGGGTGCTGGGCAGCCTCTAGTCCCCTACCTCAGGAGCCCACAATTTGCTGCCGTCCCTCCCCTCCCTGCAGGACAGCTATCAAGGAGCCCACCACGCCAGAGACAGTGGGGTCCCTGAGTCCCTCCCTACCAGGTCCTCACCATCCCAGAACATCTAAGGGGCCGCCCAGGACCTGGAGCGACCAGCCGACTCTCCCAGGACTCTGAGTCCTGACCAGTGATCCCGACAGGAGAAGCATTTGGAAGCCGTCCATTCCCACAGTGGCACCCTGACATTTAATTTCCATCTTGTTCCCACGTCTGTTCTGTTTTTGTGCCACATCCTCTGGCCTGAGCGCCAGCTGGGCTAGCTCTCTGATCTCTTTCCAGTTCATTTCTTTTATTACTGAACTTGGCCACAGTGGAGGTTTGTTGCCTGCAACCGAGGGACACTAACTCACATGGAACTCCTATCAAATAGGTGTGGCCGCAGCGGACCCTCGGGGAGGTAAACGCAGGACCTCGTGGCCTGAGACCCAGTGGAGCTGATAAAGCGTGAGCCCCAGACCTCCCGCCGTGAGGGCTCCCTCTAAGGCCCCACAGTGTTGTGAGTTCACACAGTCGTGTGTGTGTTCATGGAGTTTGCACTGTGGTGTGTTCTATCCAGGACTGGTTACGCCTGCTGGCCCATTGTCCACCCTCTTCTCTGTTACCCTCTCCTTCGTGCCAGTGGCATTGGAGTGGCCACGGACGGACATTTTGGGGAGTTGGGGTCATATTCAGGTTGGGTTTAATGGCATAAGTTTACATCCCTTACAGTCACTCCTATGGAACTATTGTTCCCTGATCTGGTTAACGGACTTCAGGACACAAAGGGACATCCCCAGAGCCTGTCCCGAGCCATGATGGCGCCCTGTGGTTCCTGGAACGTGAAGGATGCGGGTGGTGAAGGAGAAGTTACAGAGCCAGAAGCCCCTCTATGAGAAAGCCCCCGTCATCAGACATGCCGCGTTGTTAAGTGGAGGAACTGTCACAGAAAAAGCTGGGCCACACGGCTACTGGTGGCTTCAGTGTTTCCCATGGTTATAGGTTGTCTTTTTCAGTTCCTCCTGTAAGTGGAGTATTTAACACACACGAGGGCTTGACTTTCCCTTTTAAAGAGCTAAGTGCTTGGGGCCGGCTGAGTGGTTCAGTTGGTTAAGAGCATGAGCTCTGAGCAACAGGGTCGCCGGTTCGATTCCCACTTGGGCCAGTGAGCTGCGTCCCAACTGAGCATCTGCTGAGCTGCCAATAGGTGTCAGGATGTCTCAGCTGGTGAGAGCATGTGCTCCTAACAACAAGGTTGCTGGTTCGACTCCTGCATGAGATGGTGAGCTATGCCCACCCACAACTAAGATTGAACACTGCACCTTGAGCAGAGCGGCTGCAAGCTGCTGGATGGTGACTGGACTTGGGGCTAACTTGGAGCTGAGCTAGCTGCGCCCTCCACAACTAAGATTGAAGGACAACAACTTGGCTGTTCCCCTCCCATAATTCCCTAACACTGTTCCCCTTCCCCAGTCCCCCAATAAATTTAAAATAAAAACTAAAAAAAAAAGAGCTAAGCGCTTAACAAGATGGGCTCCGTCACACGGCTGCTCAGTCCTTATATCGTGGGTACAGGGACATTGCCAAGATGCTAAAATATATTTCTGAAGACTGGACTTGAGAGAAAAATACAAATTGCAAACAAAAAGAAGAGATTATTCAAATCTGGAAAAGTATTTTGGAACATTTCCCAAAAATAGTGAGAAATTATAAACTCTCGACTTAAGTGGATACGCAGGGGACCGTCTTTTGCTATCTTTAATTGTGTTTATTTGTGAAAGGCATGAGAGAAAGCTCAGGTTAAAATGGGCTATGAAACAAAAAGAGTTCAAGGTAAACACTGG